GATGACTCGCCTAAGTGCGGATCTCGACTACAGGTCATCTGGAGTGTTGTACACAGCTCACAATATAGTTACTTGGCTGGTTGAAGGTCCTTATAAAGGGACCTACAAGCGTTGGTCACGAGTCGTAGTCCGGCAAAGTCCGGTTGTGTGGACCACCGTTATTGACCGAGAACTTCCAACGGCGGCTCCCTTAAGTCCATCCTCATTCACCAACTCAGCACTCGTAGCGGCAAGTCACTTCTGCGAGGAAACCCGACATCACAGTGGAACATCTCCTCGAGGTTTGTGAGGAGTGGCACCTGTCGGTCAGTGTCGAGAAGAGCGAATGGGGAATGTCAAGAGTGGATTTTTTGGGGCACGAGGTTTTGGAAAACGGACTCGGGGCGAAGCCAAATAACTTGGAAGCACTGGCGACGTTGGATTTTCCGCGTACGCAAAAAGGGTTGCAGTCAGTTGTGGGTAGTCTAAATTACTACCACCGCTTTATCCCAGAATTCGCGATCTTTGCGACCGCGCTATACTCCCTCTCAGCCCACGATTTCGGAAACGCGTGACGGAGAACCATGCGGAACTCGCGTTCGCGACACTTCGCAGCAAGATCGCGGCTACCCCGATGCTAAAGCACTTCAACGCGGATAGACAACCAGTAGTGATTGTGTATGCAAGTGTTTGGGCCGTGTCAGCCGTCCTCACTCAAGAGGATGACGGAGTATATATGCCCATCAAGTTCACTAGCCGGACGTTGAAGCCCAACGAGCTGAACTATAACATCACCGAGAAGGAGATCCTAGCGTTGTTGCACGTCTGGAACGAGTGCCACAACATGTTGGTAGGAAAGACTATACGCGTCTTGACCCGACATATAACCCTTGGTTGGCTATTCCGGTCTACAGGGCTGCAAGGTCGTTTGTCGCAATGGGCCGCCATCCTCTCCCCCTGGCGATTGGAAATCCTCCGATCGGCGAAAGGGGAGGAAGAGATCTTGGGAGCGTTGGCCGCGAGCATCACGCCGAGGGCCTACGTTGATTCCGCATTGGAAGATATCGCGCCTCGAACACGCCCGTCTAAGACGGCCGCGATCCCGGTTCCGAAAATCGGACCGACCGAGAGCCTCCACGTGATCAGCTTCGACGGATCGGCCAGCGTCAAACGCGAGGGCGGAGCGTTCAGCGCCGTAGTCTGGCAACTACCGGAATGTGGTAAAAGCCGCGTCTGGGTACGCGGAAGGTCTTACGGTAAACGAAGCTGAATACCGGGGTATGCTACTCGGGCTCTCGCTCCTAGAAGACTTGAACGTCACACGCTTAATCAAATGCCGGGACTCCAACCTGGTGGTGCGCCAAACCCGGGGGGAGATGGACTGTAAATCTCTCGGATTGGAGCTGTTGAGACAACAGGCATGGAACGCGCTGTGCGAATGGCCCAGACACGAGTTTCTGCATGTTCGACGAGATTGGAACGCGAGTGCAGATATGTTGACACTCCAACGCCAAGGAGGCAAAGATGGCCATAGCGTCGAGGAGAGTGAGGACCTGAAGACGCTGAATAGGCTGGGAGAAGTACGCTACACGGTTTAGAACGTGAAACGCGCGGCGGTCTAGACAGCGAGGGACGCGGGACGGGAAGAGACTGTCCTGTGACCACCCGTTCGCGCGACGCGTCCCACTAAACCTCGCGGAGACAGCCGGAAGCCTTGAAGGAATTACAGGTGCAACAGCTGAGGCTGGATCGATCCGCACGGCGCAGGACGAAGAGCTATGGATAGCAAACCTCAAGGAGTTTCTAAGCGGGGACATCAGCGAGCTCTTCAAAGATGAGGTGAAGAGCTGTGTGAAGATCGCGGAGCAATACGAGGTAGGAAAGAGTGGCTTGCTGTACTACCACGTACAGAGAGACGAATCGGCAGAAAACCGGTACTTGATCATGAACCAGGTCGTGCCAGAGACCCTCCGACAAGACGTACTACACCACTATCATGCGAGTCTAGAAGGCGGGCACCAGGGCATAGGCCGAACGTACCAACTCGTACGACGACATTTCCACTGGCCGGGACTATTCAAAAGCGTACAGCGTCACGTCGGAGAGTGTGTCGACTGCGAGACTGGCATAGGCAGACCGACGATGCAAGGGGAATATCCCGAGAATATCATAGCGACGTATCCATTCCAAGTGGTTGCGATGGATCATATGCCGCCATTGCCCGCGTCACAAAACACATGGAGTTGTTAATCTGGGTCGACCTGTTTACGGGTTTCGTTATCGCGAAGGCAAGTGCGTCGCGTACCACGCAGACCGTCGCCCATACGAGGAGGCGGTTTTCAGACGGTTCGGAGATAGTGAAGAAATTCGCCACGACCGAGAGCCAGAGTTCATGTCCGATTTCTTCAGGGCCTTCAACAAACTGATGGGTCAACGGCAACGAGCGACTCTCGCGTATCGTCCACAAGCAAACGGGTCGGCGGAGCGCATGGTGCAGACGATTACGAGGCCATCAAGATGTACATCGAGGACATCGATCAGCGCGACTGGGACGAGTACGCGAAACGACTCACCTACGCACTGAATACCGCCCACGATCGGACGCGGGACGAAACACCGTTTTTCTTGGTACATGGTTGGGATCCACGGTCCACCCTGGGAGCGACACTAGCGATCGGTAACACCTCACATCGAGACGCAGAGGCTCGGCGATGGAGAATTGTATATTTTTAAAACGGTAACCAGTCGGTCCGTCCGTTACGAAAAGGCTATAAAA